CACGCTCCTTGTCGACCTCGGGGATGATTGAGTTGAGGTACTTGGCGACTTTGTAGGGTTGTGGATGGTTCCAGAGCCTCGAAGGCATTTTCACCGTCACATCCTTGACGGTGATTGGAGAAGGGGGCGATTTCCCGACCGCTTTTCCCTTTCCCTTATCGACCTTACGGCGTTTCAGGTCGTCGGGGATCAGGATGGCGGCCCGCTCGTCTTGGGCCCTCTTTCGGGAAGCAGAGCTCGACGATTTATGCTGCTGAGCAGCATTAGGGTTCTCGACCCGAGATTTCTTTGCAGCAGTTGTCTCGACTGCTGCAACGGCGGGCCCTGACCCAGATCCGCCCGTGGGTTGAGGGGGAGGAGCAGAGCCGCCAGCCGACTGACCGGTCGAATGTTTCTTCTTCAACTCAAAGCGTTTGAGTGCCTTAACTGAAATACAACAAGTGGAAATTAGCAATCAAATAAGATAGTTAACAATCGCGATACGAATAATTAAAATTGGAAGTCGACCCCACAAGAAGAAACGATAAGAGCTTACGATGGTCATCAAGACGAGGAAGATCCTCGTAAATGACGATGCGAGCATGATTGACCAATTTGCGGTCCTTGATCAATTGACGAGCACTGTAAGTGTGCTTATTTAGCTCAGCCAACAGCATGTCGAACTCGTCGGAGCGAGGCCATTTATTTTGTTTTACCTTAGAAGTTATCTAAGTATTTACATAAGGATACATGCCGGGAGCAGGTCGAACGAAAAAGTACTTCGACTTCCATTCAGTTACGTTGGACGAAAGATCGTCGAGGAAAGTGACGCCGGCACGACGACCCAAGCAATGGGCGGATTTGGAAAGTTGGTAGCCATAGCAGTAAAAGAAAAACTCGGGTGAAAAGAATTTAAGTACTATGCGAGAGACGACTATAAAGGCTATCATGATGCGAATGGCGTTAGAAGAGAACTAATTTATTGGTATATTGTACAGGTTGCTTATCAGCAGGAGCTCGTCTTGTATAGGGAAACGAAGACCAAAGACGACTTGGTCTACGAAAAATGTATGGCAGCCGGAAGGAGGATGTGCGAAATCACTGTCGGGACCAGGGGCAACCAACTCCCAGTCCGAGGAAAGCCCACTAAATTGTCTGAAGCCCTCGACCTCGGTTGCAGAGGCATAAGAAAAAGGATTTAGAATAGCTAACCTAAACAAGGGGCAAGCTATCGAAACAGTATTTTGAGAGTCGAGAAGAGGAGCAATTAATGGTACAGGTACAGGACTCGTTCTATACACGGGGATGTCTAAGAACCTAAGAGGTATACCTCAAGAAATCAGATTGAGATGAGGAGAGCCTCCTCTAGAGGGGCTATTCGAGATGTCGACCAGACCGCCCGCCAAAAGCGCTTGGTCGTATTCATCCCAGTCGACGATGGGAGCAGAGGGGCGAGAAGGAGAATTGGGAGGTGGAAAAACCATCTTGATGCCAGTCACTTGAACAGAATCAGAGCTTGAACACTCATCGACTTGGTGAGTATACTCGTTGATTTGACGACCAAGGGAGCCAGAGAGAGAAGACGAGTCAGAAGCTAAAGAGAAGAAAAAGAAAAAGGTTGGAATTAGCAAAGTCACGGGATAATACACTGAACACAACAAGTAGAGTCGACTTCCAAAAGTCATCGAAAGACGACTCGACTTCTGTTAATGTTAGAAGGAAACAAGGAAGCCCACAAGTCATTACCCAGTCGATTCGACAAGAAACAGACCAACAAGTCGACATGAGTCGACTAAGAGGGTAACAAAGAAGGGGTAGAGAAGGAAAAGAGAAGGTTACTAGGTCGACAGGGATATACTTAGCAAAGGGTGAAAAGTCGACTCCATCCCAGAAGTCGACAACCAACAAAGCAAAAAACAACAAATAAAAGCAAAACACGCACAATCAAAGATCCAACACAAAATTCGAGAAAAAGAGTTTGAAGAACATGAAGAACACGCAGGAATTTCAAAGCCCAGAAAAACTGAAAAAGGAAAAATCGATAGAAAATTAAGAGATAAAAGAAAATAGTAAACTTACACATGATGGTTTAGTGGATTGAAACTCTGAAAGAGCTTGAAGTCGTCGGAAACGGAGAACGCCGATGAAATCGAAAACACGAAAAGCGCCAGAAAGCTCGAGGAATCTGAGAAATCAAGAAGTCCGAGAATGCGAAAAGTGCTTCTCTGAGGGATTGAGGCATATTTATAAACGGTAATATTGGATGTTGATCGTTAGATTAGCAAAAGATCTAAGGGTCCCGATGAAGCTCGGGATTCGAGGAGTTGGCGGTTGAGGTGACGCGCATCACTTCAGGGATTTTGAAATTTGAAATTCAAAAAGGTCTGTCAGAGTGTCAGACTTATCCAAAAGGTAATCATAAAGGATGAGAGGGTATTCTAGCAAAATGACGAGGCATGTCATAGCCATGACGAGTAAAAGCAGACATGACGACTTAAGTCGAACAAGAGCAGCACTTGACCACCAAATTTACTCTCAAGCATTCGACTGCTTAGAGTAATTTTTTGGGGGGGACTAAATGATATAGCCATATAAAGACATACCGGCCCAAAGGCTCTCTACTCGACCGGGTAGAGGCTCAAACTGTTCGACATGTCGACATGCACCCGTCGACTTCCTCTAGGTCGACTATTGGAATGGCAGATGCCCTACAAGTCGACTCTCAGAAGTCGACATTGTTCAGTCGACTTCCCGAAAGTCGACATCTATCTGAGAAAACCAACAAGAGCGTAGCCTCTGAACAACCAGAAGAATCTTGATCGACTCATTCATACTCGATGTCGACTCCTTATACTTCGAGACGGGAGACACCCCGACGATTCCACACACTTGGTGTATTTCTTGGAATCTCTTGTCCTTAAATGGATAAGAAGGAATCTTGAGATGACTCAGCAAGGAGAGGAGACGAATCGACCGAGGCAATTTAGAACTTTTAGGTCCACCGACCTGGGCATTTCGGGTATTTCAAGTAAGTATTCACTCCTATATAAAGGAGATGAGGTAACCCTAAAGCTTAACTCTCATTGATTCCACACACTCCTCATAGCTGCTGCGCAGCATCCCTTCATCTCTCTCATACTGACTTGAGCGTCGGAGGCTCTACACCGGAAACACCTCCGGCGTTGAGTTCTTGCAGGTACTCTCGCGGTCTAGCAACGGTTCGAGGGCGATTCTAACAGATTTGAGCTCTTTACCACCGGTTCACTCCAGATCTGAGAGTAGACCCATCACATACCTATCTGTCATTTATATTTAATTTATGTGCATAGTAGTGAGCAAGTGGTGTGCTCACTCCCATGTAACCCGCCTTTCAGGTTGAGCAGGTAGCGGGCATGGCGACGACATTTATGATTATTATTGCTTCTGCTTTTATGATGAACATGTTGAACTTATTATTTTTCAAACAATGAGGTTTTGGAAAAACAGTGGATGATGTTCTTGGCATGATGGATAGTTTTTAAAACCCAATAAGTTGGTTTATTTCCATGATGTGAAACCTGATAAACTAGTTTATTGATGATATGTCTATGATGTGTTGGTGACGATTAATAATGATATCCTTTGATGAAAGACCAGGTAATGAATCCCCGATTGTTGAGATACGACTTGAAATACTTTATGAAATGAATGAGTAACACCGAAAATGTTTTAAAATCGAAAAATGAGTTTCGAAAATTTAACTATGATTTTTGGAAAAGCCATGAATTTTTCTTTAAAAATCAATGGGGCGTTACAATGTGTCTCTTTCAAGGCCTGTAATTCGTCAGTCATAGCTTGTTGCCACAATGGATCAGCACTCGCTTCACAAAAAGCCTAGGCTCATGATGAGATAGGATGACCGAATAACAATGATAGTCGAGTAGGTGAGAAGGTATGTGACTTACACGAGTCGACTGTTGGTGATCAAAGGTATAGGAAGGAACTGAATCAGAAGTGGACTCAACAGGAAGCGTCAGTTCAAGATGCACATGTGGAACAACTTCAGAAGACGGAGGCGTGGCAGGCGTTTCAATGAGATGTGAGTCGGGACATGTATAAGGAAATAAATCCGAAGTAATGGACATGAAGAAAGGGACGACAAATCAAAAGGAATGTGAAATTTAGACAATAAAGAAAAAGTAGTATGCTCCCAAAAGGTAATGTAACGCGAAATACGCAACCGATTAGCAACAGGATCCCAACGCCTAAACCTTTTGTATTCTACCCCATAACCCAAAAAACAACACAAACGAGCTCGGGGTTCTAATTTGTTTCGCTCATGAGATGGGAGAAGAACAAAGCAAACATAACCAAAAGGACATAGCTGTGTATAATCACGAGACTGATTGTACAACCTCTCAAAAGGACTAATATCTCGAAGAAAAGTTCAGGGTAATCGGTTGATAGCATAAACAGCAGTCAAGGCTGCTTCACCACAAAATGATCAGTACACTGAGCAGAAAAGAGAAGAGCACAAAAAGTATCAAGAATGTGATGGTGTTTACATTCTGCTCGTCCATTTTGTTGGGAAGTATAAGGACATGAACGTTGAACGAATGTGCCCTGATCAGAAACCTTAAAAAAGTAGAATCATTGTACTCAAGGGCATTATCCGTATGCAAGACCTTTATAGGACAAGAAAATTGTGTGTGAATAATTCTAGCAAATTGAATATATATGGTGGGCAACTCAGAACGATTTTTGAGAAAATAGATACAAGTAAAACGAGAAAAATCATAAAAAAAATAACAAAGTACCGAAAACCATTCATAGAAGCAACCGGAGGACCCCAAATATCAGAATGTACCAAACCAAAAGGTTTATCAGCAATTGACAAATTTCAGAAAAAAGAAAGAGCCGAGTGTTTCCAAGTTTCCAAGTTTACATGAAGACTACATGAAGACTACTCGCTCAACTGTTAGACAAACATTGTTGTCGCATGTTGTGTTTTACATAACTTCATTTGTCGGCACTAAGAAAAGGACAACCTACCTCTGTCATTTCATGACCTCGACTACATTCCAGAATGTGATGCCGACGATGGAACTATTCCTTTGAACACCATTCTAAATGCAGCACTAACTGGTTACAGAGAACAGTGTATGGTACGCGACTCAATCACTACAGCATTGTGGGCGGATCAAGGGAATATACGTCGTTAACTATGTTGTAACGTAGTTAGCTTGTAGTGTTAAATATGTTGTGTTTTCATAATGATTTAGACAACGAAAATATCTCGCTTGTACTCGACGTGATTTGGTTTGAAGCATTTCGCCATCTTATGTTTTAAATGTGGGTTGCCAATGAAAATTCGGATTTTGATTTTGCTGTAATGTATCTTACATGAACTATAAAATAGGATGTTTTTTATGAATAAAGCTCGTTTTAAAAAAAATAACAAGTTAATTCACATAATACTATTGGAAGAACAAATGTAGTTTAATTCACCTTTTGGTAGGTGTATACATAAACAACATAAATCCCGATTACTCTAACGCTTCTCAAGTGGTGGTAGATAGAGACAAATAAGATTTCTTGATTTCAATTGTTGTTTTAGCTTTTGGGTTGTCTTAGATTTCTAGGGAATAAATAGTTCTTGGAATTGTTTAATGCTTTGATTAGAGATCCCTTTTTATCATTATGTTCCGAATGTTCTTTTTTATGATTCAAAAGTTACGCCCCCTTATTTTTTTGGAACTAAGGAAACAAAATTCAGTGAAGTCAACCAATCTGATAAACATAAATTACCAAAATTATAACCCGATTTTCACCCCAACTCATATTATCCATCACCAACAACTAATTAGTTCTCTTATTTTGGAAAGTTATAATTCCTAAATCCCTCAACATTCCTTAACCTATACATACTAGTACTTATTTTCTTCACTCAACAAAGTCTATATATATACATACGATACTACACACATGCACAAGACAAAACATCCCAATTTATTTCTTAAAAAAAAAATCTAAAACCCCAACACTCATCATAAAGCATGGACGGAAGACGAATAGCCGATTTACTCGGGCATTGGGGGCCAACATGCTCAACCGTGTCCCGAGTCAGCACGTGGAGGTTCACCACGAGGAGATGAAAAACCTCTTTGCGGTTCATGTGAAGGAGAGCGCATTTGTGGCCCAGCACTGTGAGGCAGAGGAAGAGAAAAAGAAGGTCGAGGAGAAAGAAGAGGACGAGAGTCGGAAGGTTTAGGTGGCGAGTGCGGCCCACGCATCGACAAGCTGGGTGTGTTATTGTAAGAAGATGGAAGCCGTAGAAATTAGATGAGGGAGTAAGGTGGCAAATGAGAAGAAGGAAGAGGAAGAGGATCAGTTCCGGTACAGGGATAAGGCTGATTGGAGGTGACCGAGGAAGTTAGAGTACAAGAGGACAAATTATCGTGATTGGATATTTTTTTTTTTTAATTTTTGTTATGTGTTTTGTTTCTAATTTAGAATTTAAATATTGTGCATTCTTTTGAATATTGTAGTCATGTTTGGCAATTAATATTATTGCATGAAATTGAATATTTTACCGTTCGCATGCTTGTTCCCGTAGATAATAATAACACGATGGAGTAGTTTTTGTCCATGTTTCTCTCTCTTTAGCACCTGACCCTATTTTCTTTTGCTATGCAATCACTCTTCATGGTAGGTTTTCAGGCTGGTCATTTCTTTTCCTATACAATCACTCCATTCATGGTAGGTTTTTGGCTATGATGACCGATCCTTGGCTGGGTTGACAACTCCTTGACCGGGTTTGACCCTTACAAAGTTCCACTTTCACAGTGTCTCACAGCCTTTGGTAAGTACTTCTGATCTTTGGGAGTTGCATAGAAAGAAAATGGCAGAAACAATTATACCATCTATTGGAAACACTTCAGACGGAAATCAAACAAGATTACAAATGATTGACATTAAATGTCAACAAGATGTCTCTTTTGACAGTTGTCGTACCGTCACCTCCTAGAGGTATAAAATATTGCATTGACACTAAAATTTCTATTTTGGAATTAATTTTAATATCAAAATGACTCGGGACTCATTGAAGGCCTGATCTTCGAGGGCATCTGAACTAAAATTAATGCACATTTAATTTATTTCTAGTACATATTTAAATAAAACACAATGCATATTTTAGTTATAAATATTGCATACTTAATTGAGAACAAAAATTGCGTATTTAGTACATAATGCATTTATTTCATTCAATGTGCATATTTATGTAATAAGTAATACATATTTAGTTCATCATAGTGCATACTTATTTTATTTAAATTAAATATATAAATAATTCATATTTAGTTCATTATGCATATATAGTTCATACGAAATGCATATTTAGTTCATCCATAGTGCAAACTTGTTATATTTAAATTAAATATATATAATGCATGCTTAGTCCACTCATTATGCATAATTAGTTCATATGAAATGTATATTTAGTTCATCCATAGTACATACTTGTTATATTTAAATTAAATATGTACATGATTGATCGCGCGTCGTTACGTGGAAAGTTTAAATTTATAAAGTGTTTCTCAAAACCTCCACTAGTAGTATCAGCGAGTAAGGTCGATCCCACGAGACGGATGAATTAAATTGTGACTATTCTCGTATTACTCGAATAAAACTAAGAAAGCAATAAAAGGGGGAATTTTTATTATAAAAAAAGTAAAAATTGGAAATATCAAAAAAAAAATTAAATAAGATGAGAGAAGTTCAATTTTAGTTTTAGTTATACCCAATCAAAATCTACCGTTAACTAATTTCAATACCTTCTTTAAATTGCTAATGAATTACCAACTCTACTTAACAACAAGCTCTGTTAACCGAATTTTCCTTTATCGAATACTTAATTAAAATAAGCTCTTCGACTAAACCTAACTAGTGGACAACCTAGAATAAACTCTCTAGATTTAATATACTAGCAACATTAATTCCTAAGAAAATATATTAGTCTAAGCAACGGACCTAAAATCTCGGACCATTTAACTTATGTTCACCCTAGAGATGCACGATCCATGTTTACTATTAACGAAACAAGAACAATAACAATGACGGATGACAGATTAAAGTCTCATCTCTAGCAACTAAACTATGAATATTCAAAGTAGCTGGCCAAACTAAATCAAACACTCATAATTCATAAACATTATACTCAGAAAACATGAATCTAAGGGTATGTTTGTTAACCGGTTTTTTCTCTCCAAAATTCTCCCCAACCGAAATAATTCACTTATTACTATTGTTAGTGTTTGTTTACCAATTTATTATGTTTGCTTTTACTTTTTGTGGGGCCCATCACCTGTATACATACATCTAATTTGTATCGTCACCTCAGATCCCTCATTTTTGGAAACATCTCACCGCACCTGCCCCAATTTAAACGGTTCACTCATCACTGTAAAAGAACCTTGCATTGTGTAGAAAAATGAACACAGAACCATCTTCTCTATGGAGGAAAAGCAGAGAGGGAGAACTAGACAAGCCAAGTCATTTGATGGCTTTAACAACTTCATCATTAACATGGACATGGAAGAGATCAGGATGGTAGGTTATCAATTCACATGGGGGAATAATAGAGAGGTTGAAGGATATGTAAAAGAAAAGCTGGACATGGCCTTTGCATCATTTGAGTGGCTAAGCTCTCACCCCAATGTTAAAATCCTGAATGAAGTCAGAAGTGCCTCAGATCACTCTCTTATCATCCTCAACCCTGGTGCCAATGCAGAGAGACATAAATGAAGGTTCTTTTTTTTTTTTATAAGAGATGGATTGCTAAAGAAGGTATGAAAGAAGTGGTTCAGAAAGCTTGGCATACACCTCAACTGGGAACCCTCTTCTACAGGCTCAAAAAAAAGGTGAAACATACTAGATTGGCATTGCTAATATGGAGCTCCAAATTCAAATCTCAGAATCAGGCCAAGATTTCTGAGTTATCAAAAAAGTTGGACAGGCTAAGAATAGATGGAAGAAAGGAAAACTGGGAAGATTGTGAGGCTACATGAGCTGAACTTGATGAAGCACATGTCTATGAAGAAAGATTTTAGGCTCAGAAGGCCAGGGCTCAGTGGCTCAAAGAATGAGACACCAATTCTAAATTCTTTCATGCATATACCATTCAAAGAAGAAGGCAGAATGCTATATCAGACTTATAGCTGACAAGAACAAAGTTTGTAGCACAAGGGAAGAAATTGAAGATCACATAACCAGTATCTATTCAAACCTGTTCACATCGAGGGGTCCTGGGGTGGATAATTTATGTTGCACTTAAACCCCAAAACCATCTCAGGAGATATGAATATGAATCAGCAACTCTTGAAACCATCTCAGGAGATATGAATATGAATCAGCAACTCTTGAAGCCTATTGAAGAAGATGAAATTAAAAATGCTCTATTCAGCGTGCATCCTGATATATCTCCAGGTGAGGATGGAAATGATTGCCTTCTTTTATCAACAATTCTGGAGCTTAATACTCCTTGACTTAGTAGCAGCCATCCAAAGCTTCTTTGATTCTGGTATGATTCTCCAATACTGGAACCACACTTTGATCACTCTTGTTCCTAAATGTCAGAACCCTCTCTCTTTTAATCAGTACAGGCCTATCTCTTTATGCAGTGTGGTGTATAAGATTCTTTCTAAATTGTTGGCCATGAGACTGAAAGTTTGTCTCAGCTCTTGTATTAGTGAGTGTCAGTATGAATTTATTCAAGACAGACAATTGTTAGATAATGTATTTAGCTCAAGAGGCATTTCACTTTCTCAATAGGCATAGATCTGTAAAAAATTGCTTTATGGCCCTAAAACTAGACCTCATGAAAGCATTTGACAGGGTTGAGTGGATTTGCATAGAAAAGATCATACTCCAGATGGGATTCAGTCTTGTGTTTGTGAAGCTGTTTATGGTTTGTGTCACTTCTACTTCTCTTTCTTTCTATATCAATGGTTCTTTGAGTGGTGTGATTTATCCTACCTGAGGTATTAGACAGGGGGATCCATTACCCCCCTATTTGTTCATCATTATCGCTGAACTCCTCTCAACTCTCATTTCTGATTCATTGCACAGAGGCTCTCTGAGTGAGCTGAAACTCTCTAGAAATGGCGCTGCTCTATCTTACCTGCTCTTTGCATATGATGCTCTATTCTTTTGTAGAGCGGAG